GGTTTAGGGTTTAGGGTTTAGGGTTTAGGGTTTAGGGTTTAGGGTTTAGGGTTTAGGGTTTAGGGTTTAGGGTTTAGGGTTTTAGTGTTTAGGGTTTAGGGTTTAGGGTTTAGGGTTTAGGGTTTAGGGTTTAGGGTTTAGGGTTTAGGGTTTAGGGTTTAGGGTTTAGGGTTTAGGGTTTAGGGTTTAGGGTTTAGGGTTTAGGGTTTAGGGTTTAGGGTTTATTAGGCGGTTCCCAAATACTATACCCCTCGGAAAATGTACACTTTTGAGGATCCCATGGAAGGTTTAGAGTTAGAGTTCAGGAATAGGGTTTGGGTCATTGGAACACACAGTTTTCCTCGAAAAAAGTACATTTTTAGGTGGTTTACAAGCATAAAATAATGTAAATGCCTGTAATCATGCTTGTATCCCAATAAAAGATGTTCTTTTTCCGAGGAAAATGTAGGGTTTAGGGCTTTAGGGTTTAGACGGGGGGGGGGGGGTGCAGCCGAGGAAGATGACAACATCAACACGATGGAGAGCCTGGTGCCCAGTTTCGGGTTTAGGGTTTAGGGTTCAGGCTGTTTGTTTCGGGCTTCAGTGTTTAGTGTGTAGCAACAAACAAACCCCTTACAATTAAGTAAACAAGGCATTTTGGTGTTAGGGTTTAGGGTTTAGGGTTTAGGGTTTAGGGTTTAGGGTTTAGGGTTTAGGGTTTAGGGTTTAGGGTTTAGGGTTTAGGGTTTAGGGTTTAGGGTTTAGGGTTTAGGGTTTATTAGGCGGTTCCCAAATACTATACCCCTCGGAAAAAGTACACTTTTGAGGATCCCATGGAAGGTTTAGAGTTAGAGTTCAGGAATAGGGTTTGGGTCATTGGAACACACAGTTTTCCTCGAAAAAAGTACATTTTTAGGTGGTTTACAAGCATAAAATAATGTAAATGCCTGTAATCATGCTTGTATCCCAATAAAAGGGGGGGGGGGGTGCAGCCGAGGAAGATGACAACATCAACACGATGGAGAGCCTGGTGCCCAGTTTCGGGTTTAGGGTTTAGGGTTCAGGCTGTTTGTTTCGGGCTTCAGTGTTTAGTGTGTAGCAACAAACAAACCCCTTACAATTAAGTAAACAAGGCATTTTAGGGTGTTAGGGTTTAGGGTTTAGGGTTTAGGGTTTAGGGTTTAGGGTTTAGGGTTTAGGGTTTAGGGTTTAGGGTTTAGGGTTTAGGGTTTAGGGTTTAGGGTTTAGGGTTTAGGGTTTAGGGTTTAGGGTTTAGGGTTTAGGGTTTAGGGTTTAGGGTTTAGGGTTTAGGGTTTAGGGTTTAGGGTTTAGGGTTTAGGAGGCGGTTCCCAAGTACTATTCCCCTCGGAAAAAGTACACTTTTGAGGATCCCATGGAAGGTTTAGAGTTAGAGTTCAGGAATAGGGTTTGGGTCATTGGAACACACAGTTTTCATCGAAAAAAGTACATTTTTAGGTGGTTTACAAGCATAAAATAATGTAAATGCCTGTAATCATGCTTGTATCCCAATAAAAGATGTTCCGAGGAAAATGTAGGGTTTAGGGCTTTAGGGTTTAGACGGGGGGGGGGGTGCAGCCGAGGAAGATGACAACATCAACACGATGGAGAGCCTGGTGCCCAGTTTCGGGTTTAGGGTTTAGGGTTCAGGCTGTTTGTTTCGGGCTTCAGTGTTTAGTGTGTAGCAACAAACAAACCCCTTACAATTAAGTAAACAAGGCATTTTGGTGTTAGGAATTAGGGTTTAGGGTTTAGGGTTTAGGGTTTAGGGTTTAGGGTTTAGGGTTTAGGGTTTAGGGTTTAGGGTTTAGGGTTTAGGGTTTAGGGTTTAGAGTTTAGGGTTTAGGGTTTAGGGTTTAGGGTTTAGGGTTTAGGGTTTATTAGGCGGTTCCCAAATACTATACCCCTCGGAAAAAGTACACTTTTGAGGATCCCATGGAAGGTTTAGAGTTAGAGTTCAGGAATAGGGTTTGGGGTCATTGGAACACACAGTTTTCATCGAAAAAAGTACATGTTTAGGTGGTTTACAAGCATAAAATACTGTAAATGCCTGTAATCATGCTTGTATCCCAATAAAAGATGTTCTTTTTCCGAGGAAAATGTAGGGTTTAGGGCTTTAGGGTTTAGACGGGGGGGGGGGGAAAAATAAGTAAAAGGATGGTTCTGAGGACTGGCACATTATATATTGCCCGCCTCCGCTGATACATTAAATCACAACAGCATAACATCGACATCATCACTTCATCGCCTCATTCATTAAAAATTCCTAAAATTCCTATATCCTCTGGGGTCATTTACCACATTCGCCCCTCATTCGTTTCGTCAATCATTCCACCTCATTCAAAATAATCAGGATGGTTCTAGGGACAAAATGCCTCATTCGTTTCATCAACTTTCGCCTCTCATTCGTTCTTCATTTCTTGAAGTGTTCCACCCCAGATTTTTCACACTTTTTCAAAGAGTATCCAATTTACCACCACCAAAATCACAAAAAATTAACAAAATATTAACTTTCTAAGGAGTATCCACCTTATCCGTTATTCACAAAATTCATCACAAAAACCCCAGAAAATTAATATTATGTTAATGGTTGATTAATTGTCTTTGAGTTCATTGTTAAACTTTTAATTGCTTTCTTGCAGTCTTGAATACATTTAATTCGTGTGCTTTTCTTAGTTAGTTTATTTGCAACATCAAAATAAATCATTGAAATAACATTAACCTTGCTCATTGTTTCTTCGGCATTGCCTTCTTCTTCTAGATTGGTTAATTGTTTATTATATCTTTGTATCTTATTATTATAGTATTCAATGTCCTCATCAATGTCTTTCAGTTCTGATTCATACTTGGCAATCCTCTCTTCGTATTCCTTAATCCTATCGCTCATAATATCCCTACTATACTAAGGAGTTTTATCTTTAAGTCCTTTTATGTAAAGTTTATAATACCGCGCCTGTTCCTGAATTCTGTTAAGAGGGTTGGGAGCGACAGCGGGGCGGGCAAACCAATAATATATCGTTCATCTTTCATTTCATCTTTCATTTCACCTCATATAAAATTTCATTTCATTGATAAATAATGCGCCGGTTTCTCAGAATCCCCGTGTAGGGTTTAGGTATAGGATGAAGCAACCATCAGCGACAAGTTCGCCAACTTTCCAAAGGTCAGCCTGTCTCGCTTTTTGCAAGTGCAGTCAAACAGTGATGCCAAGATTGCTTGAAAGCACAGAGCAAAACATATACATATCAAAGCCCTCTTTGCTTACAGCATCCACTCGTGCCTTTGACCTCGCTTTGTGAAAGAATGGCACCGAAGCAGAACGATGGTAAGAAGAATGCCGAGGAGCAGTTCCTTGACCACGTTGAGACCACAAGCGACGATGAGCAAGACTTGACTGAGTTGATGTTGGGGCTGAGCCTTGAAGACTTCTTGGGCGATGTTCCGGCTTCATCCACCGACACTTTGCAGAGTGTGCTTCCGAAGTTGTTGGAGTTGCAGGAGCAGATTGTTGAGAAGACCCGTGCCACAAAGAAGGAGCTGACCCTGCGCGACCGTGAGAACAAGAAGACCACCACAAAGGAGCGCCTCGCAAAGAAGAAGATTGATGACAAGAAAGCCCGTGAGGCCGACAAGGCCTCCGTCATCCAGATTGTTGTGGTGTTTAACGGCGAAGAGTTGAAGTTGGAAGTGCCGAAGAGTATGACCATCGGAGACCTTCGCCGTGCCATCATCACCGCCATCAACGAGAAGGTATGCAACCCCTTGACAAAGAAGATGGCAACAAAGATGACCCTTGAAATGAACGGTGTGATGCTCAGCGAGACCCCGCGTGCCACGCTCTTCAAGAAGTATGTGCAGAACGGCTGTCGCTTGACCGCCACCATCGGCTTGAACAACCCACCGCAGGACGATGACGAGAGCGACGACACCGATGACGAAGACCAGTGAGCAATCTTGCAGTTGCTCCTCTTTTGCTGTCCTATGAACGGGTAGTGAGTGGGTAAGGCATTCACTTGTCCTGATGATAGGCGTGCCTCCTTGATATGTGTGGCGAACTGCTTGATGCAACAAGGTTCGTCAAAACAATTGCATCAGACTTGTGATTGCAAAATCCCAAGCGTTGAGCATAAACCTTGTTCCTCGTAGAGAGCCGTTTGCGCCTAACTTTTTGTAGTTGTGCCCTTGTAGCATCCAAACGTCCTTTTCTTCTTTGCGATGGGAAAGCGTGTCTTGACGACCTTCAAGAAGAGCGACAGGGTCAAAGACCTTGTAGCAAGAGCAAGGAAAACCACTCTGGAAAGGGTGCTGGACAACAACGAGCCCATCAGCGATGAAGTGCCAGTGTCTTTACAACGCTTCCTTGAATCCATCCGAGGCAAGTTGTGTGAGAACACTGTTAAGGTGGAACGAGGAGAGCCACTACTTCAAGATTGCTTGAACTATCTAAGCGATGCTCAACTACAACAAGTCGCCGAAGCACTTGACCCAAAAACAAAGTTTTCCTACACGGAAGAACGCTTGGCGTCAATCGCTGGGATTATGTTCAAGGAAATCGGCGAGATGGAGGTTGCCCTATCCCACATCAATCACACCAAGAACAAAATCATCCTGCTGTTCATTCAAGCCTTCGCTCAGGAGTTCAACAAGGAAAAGTCAAGTTCTCTTACCTTTGATACGGACATAATGAAGAAGCAGGTTGATGGCTTGGTGCTGTATCGGCGTGGTTTGAGGCAGTCGTCAGATAATTCGGCTAATGCTTCACCTGCTGAACAACAAGCGGGTTGCTGTATGATGTAAGATTTTGCTGTCTCCTTCACAAGTTTTGCCGATGTCAGTTGTTAAATAGTAGGGTTTGCCTTTCCCAAAATCAGGGGCTGACACTCCCAAAATCAGGGGCTGACACTCCCAAAATCAGGGGCTGACACTCCCAAAATCAGGGGCTGGCACTCCCGAAATCAGGGGCTGACACTCCCGAAACTCGGGGCTGGCACTCCCGAAACTCGGGGCTGGCACTCCCGAAACTCGGGAATGAAGACTGTTTGCAAGTACAGTTGCAAACAACACTGGGGAAAAGCCTCAAAACAGGTCTGGTGGCGCCAGACATACTAACGTGCAAAGTCCGATGGGGCGGTAAAATACAGCGTGATGTGCCATCAGATTTGTGACTCAGTTTCGGCAGTGCAAACACCCTCACCCTACACCCTAAAACCCTAAACAACGCGACTTACTGCTTTGCCAGGTGCTCACGGACACCAACGACTTTTACAGCGACGGCTTCTTGAAGGTTCGCTCCTTTTAGGTTTTAGTTTGGGTTTTACTCTTAGGGTTTAGTTTAGGGTTTTACTCTTAGGGTGGGATTTAGGGCTTTACTCTTAGGGCTTAGGGTTTTAGGTATTAGTTAGGGCTTGGATATTAGGGTTGGGCAAACAACCATCTCAGAACAGATGGAGCACACAAGGGAAACACGACTGTCTAAACAGTCAAAGCATTGCGCCGGCCTCAGAGTGTGTTGCACTTTCTTCCGGGCTTAGTGGTTTAGACCTATAAAAACCCTATATAAATAAACCCTAAACCTTAAACCCTACATCCTAAACCCTAAACCCAATAAATCACAAAAATCATCGTAAAAAATATGCACAAAAATCATCCCAAAATAGTTATACCCAAAAAAATCCCAAAAATCCCATACAAAAACCCTAAAACCTTCGGACGTCGGCACTTCCTATCAGGGCAGGTGCAGAAGTTCCAAAGCGCTGGATTGCTCACCCTAAACCCCTAAACCCTAATCACCCCTAAACCTTAAAGACAGATGAGAGGAGAGAAGAAAGACATTTTGGCTCAAAACACCTTTAACGATACATTAAATGCCAACGCACCGCCCAAGCCCCCCGACGCGAAACCCTGCCACAAAACCACTTAAAGAAAAAACACCTTATATAGTAATGGAGTCTGGGGAGTATGATAAAGTTTTAGGATTTCTGTTTTCAGGTGGAGATGCAAAGCATGAACGCGTAAATGGACGCACCTACAAAAAGATTATCATAGATGGTGTAGAATATGGATATAATAGCGAAAAACCACTACGCAAAAAATTAAAAACAAAACTCAACGAAGTAGCAAAAACGCCCGACTATAAAAGGTTTAAGGTTCTTCACAATGCCACCAAAGGCGTATTAGTGAGGAAGGCCTTGAAAAAGTATGCTATTAAACAAAAGGCAAACATAACCGATGAAGTATCAGCATTAAAAAGATATGCTAACAGTTATAGCATCACGAACATTAACCTACACGGATACAGGGGTTTATCCTATCTAAAATACCAAGAACCCAGATTGAAAGAAAACCTTAAACGCTTAAAGTCAATGAAGATACTGATTGATGTAGATGTTGATTTTGAGCACGTTGAGAACGGCGACGAAACAACCCACACAATCAGGAGCAGGAGATACAATATCTTTAACGAAGAAGACCTCAAAAAATCAATAGATAATATGGCATCAGACATAGAACTATTAATTGAAAACAAACAGTTTGATAAATCGGGGTATAAGATAAAGAAGATACGAAAAATAAAAATCCACTTTGACAAGTATGACCCTACACGAGCAGGTCATTACTTAGAACTACCAAAGGTCATAGCAACCAAAAAAGCGTGTATTAATATTAAAAACGATGACGATTATTGTTTTAAGTATTGTGTTTATTGTCGCTTCTACGAGATATATAAGAAAGACCACCCACAAAGAATGTATCACTACACTAAATTAGCAGAGAACGATACATTTATCAAATGGAACGGTGTCGGATTTCCAGCATCAAACGAGGACATAGACACCTTTGAGACGATTAATGACAACACCATTTCGGTGAATGTTTATACCCTTGATGATAATGATAAAATAAGACCAGATAGGATTACAAAAATCGCTAAACCCTTTTGCCACGTTAATCTTTTAAGGTTAGATTTTGAAAATAAAAGTCATTATGTATTAATAAAAGAGTATTCACGATTAATGGGCAGTCAAACCAACAAGCACTGCAATAAACTATTTCATTGCATTCACTGTCAAAAAGGGTTTCAACAAGAAAAACTGCTAAACGCTCACGTTTTAAAAGGATGTATGGCAAACGAGGTTCAAGCAATAGAAATGCCAGAGGAGGCAGAAAAAATGTTTTTCAAGAACCACTACAAGAAATTAAGATGTCCTTATGTCATTTATGGTGATTTTGAGTGTTTAACTACCAAAACGGATGAGGGAATAAAAGGGACTTATCAAGAGCATAAACCATCGGGGTATATGCTAAATGTCGTGAATAGCATAACCAACGAAAGCAAACAATACTTATATAGAGGACAGGATTGTATGGATAAATTTTGTAATGATATGAACAACATAAGAGAAGAGATATTTGAGAAAATGAACTCACCAAAACCGATGATAATCACAAAAGAACAGGAAGAGGAGTTCCAAAAATGTAAAAAATGTTTTATATGCGGTGGCAGTTTTAATAACAATAAACACAAAAAGAAGGTTAGAGACCATTGCCATTTTACTGGTTTATACAGAGGATGCGCGCATTTCAAGTGCAACATAGACTACTGCTTCAAACACTTTAAAATACCCATCTTCTTCCACAACCTTAAAAACTATGATGCACACTTAATAGTATCTCACTTTGACAAGTTAAATACCGAAAAGGATGAGGTGAGTGTCATAGCACAGAACAGTGAGAAATTCATATCCTTTGAACTGAAACAGATGATTTTCAAGGATAGTTTTAGTTTCTTATCTTCTTCCTTAGACAAACTCGTTAAATTAACCAAAAAGGAAGGAGAAGATAAAAGAGAAAACTGGCACGAACACTTTGCAAACAGCAAGTTAAATAATTATGTGAAAGATGAATATGACTTAGACCTACTGACAGACAAAGGCATATATCCCTATGATTATATGGATGACTTCCAGCATTTTAACGAAACCGAACTGCCGAGTAAAGAACATTTTTATAGTAACCTATCAGAACAGGACATTACTGATGAAGAATATGAAAGGGCACAACACATATGGAAACACTTTAACATAAAGAACCTCGGTGAGTATCACGACCTATATTTAAAAACAGATGTTTTATTACTAACGGATGTCTTTGAAAATTTCAGAACACAGTGCCTTAAAGACTATGAGTTAGACCCTGCCCACTACTACACACTACCTAATTTTAGTTGGGACGCTATGCTTTTAAAAACCGGCATCTCATTAGATTTAATATATGACGAAGAGGTGTATAAAATGGTTGAGAGAGGATTGCGCGGTGGAATGTGTCAAGTGTCTCATAGAAAGGCAGAGGCAAATAACAAGTATATGGAGGGGTTATATGATGAAAGCAAGCCGAGTTCATACATCAATTATTTAGATGCTAATAACCTGTATGGACTGGCGATGTGTCAGAAATTACCATATAAAGACGTCCGATTTTATCCGAATGCACTAACCGAAAATGACATAAAAGAATGGGCAGATACATCAACTGGTTATATATTAGATGTTGATGTGGAGTACCCGAAAGAACTACACGATTATCATAAGGACTACCCATTAGCGCCAGAGATTATGAATGTATCGGCAGATATGTTAAGTCATACGCAGAAGCAAATATACAAGACCTACCACTACAATAAAGCGCCGAAGGACGAAAAAACCAAAAAGTTAATATTAAATGTAATGGACAAGCAGAACTACGTTGTTCATATTAAGATGCTACAATACGATTTGAAGCAGGGGAGGAAGTGGCTAAACCGTGGATAGATTACAACACCGAAAAGAGAAAGAATGCAACAAGCGACTTTGAGAAGGATATGTATAAGTTAATGAACAACGCGGTGTATGGCAAAACGATGGAGACGTAAGAGACCACATAGACTTTGAATTAGTAGATACACCCGAACG